ATTGAGAATTTTTGTAAAGTGTCACTTTTGTATTAAAAGTGTCATTAATAATTGACACGCACGGACCCTAGTACTGTTAGTACTGTCATCCCGACGGGCTCCATCAAAGGGATGCCTCATCCAAGTTCTTGAATACCTAGGTACGTCTAAATAATGACCCAAAAGTAGTTATTCGGTATTCAATATTTTGTTTACAGAGTGCCTCAAAAAGCCATTTTTTATCTATATTTATCTATCTAATTACTCATGGATTCCTGTGTAATAATACCGGCTCGACAGAAATTCAAAATATACGGGGTGGCTACTACACATATTAGTATATTTTTCGAAAATAAAGTACGTTTTACAAACTGAAAAATATAGGGTTTACTCTGCAGTGTCCAATTAATTGTTTAATTTGATATAAGCCTGATAATAAAATATATATTTTTAAAATTATATTACCCTAAATATACTTTTTTTTTAAATAATATTGTTACGTTTGTTTATTTTAAACAGTTTATTTGTTAATAATTTATTTGAACACTTATTTATTTTAAAACAATACTATTCTAATTTATATATATTTCACTATTTATCTTCACAACTGTTTGTATACGACTAACTGCTCCGTGTTCCTCCACCAATATTTATGTACGCATTGGAAATTCTGGTGATGTTCTCGAATGCTCTTGCCAAAACTATAATCAATATCACGTTCGTTTTGCGGCGCTATTCTTGACATCCTTCGCAAATACACGTATACTCAGCCTTGCGAAGGGTTCATTTACGCATGCTTTCCTAAAATATGATTCTTGAGACCCCTTCGCAATTACTTGCGAATGTTCTACATTCTCACTTTGGCAAAGTTACAATTAGGCATTCCAACGACCTGTCCAAATGGCTACCAGTGGGTACTGACAGTTTAGATATGGCAACCCTGTTGTCATGTTGTCATTAACAGGGTCAATGATACATATGTGTTATATACATTGTTCAAAGCTGGTCGTTTGCGAGCGGCCATATTGCCTGGCAAATATTTATTAATTTGAATCAGTTTAGCCAAAATGTGTTTTAAAACCAATTTTCAGACTTTAGATATTTAAAAAAAATAATTGCTTACATTTTTACTTCAAGGCATAAGCTTATGTTTATTTTAAAAAGTAGGGATGATCAATCTATGTAACTATCTATTTCACGCACCTTGTCAAATCACCAGGCCTACAGAGTTGCCATAACTTTGCCACATCATAACCTGTCAAAACCCACTGGTAGTCATTCAGTTTGGAATGCCTAATTATATTAAAATGACACGCTGAATGACAGAATGATGATATATTTTGTATCATGGAATGACAGTTTTCATTATCTGACTGCATTTAGCTCTTTAAAATTTCTACTAAAACCTACAAAATCTCAGATACTTACTATTAACCTAATAAATGAAATATGTTAATTTATATTCAATCTGAGATCCGAGATCTTATATAGGGCGAGAGAGTATTTATTAAAAATTGACACAATTCTTTTGAAATTGAAGGGCTTATATATTGGAATAACATCCCAGAAAACACACATTAATGGCCCAACACTGGCCCAATAGATGTAAACAGTACTTGAAGTGTCGGCACAGCATTTGTGACAGACCACACTGCCGGGCATACAATTCCGCGTAACTTGCAAATGCTGGAAAATTGCTTTAGAAGCACACAAAAATGAGTTACGTAAACCAATTTTAACTTGACTTGCAGGTTTTTTTAGGTTTAATTTATATTTGAATAATAAGCATAATCAAAAATAATAAATTTATTTAAAAAAAGTAGTTCCGACTTTTGGGCTGGGACTATCGGGCTAAGACTATCGGGCTGCTACATAATCCCAGACGTAATAAAGAATGTGATATCTAAAACAAAAAATACAGAGTATAAGCATTGTTTAAAGACACCCTATTTGATCATGCAAGTCGTTCTATTTTAGACATGTTAAAGTGGTATTTATACTTACCCTATGCCAGAAATAAATATATAGTAACAATAGTCTAATTTATTTATAGTTTATTTATTTAAAACACACTATTTACAATTTATTTCAGATGTACTAATTAATTTATATAATACTTAGACACTAACTTACTATTCTAATTTATTTATTACAATTTATGTGTTCAGTCCAATACTCTATACTAAACTAACTTCCGTCTTCGTACTCGCGATATTTATATCAAGCCAACTCTGTAACCAGAATACTCTAAACGGTGTGGAATGTCCTAGACTTCCCATCTCTATGACTCAACGTCACGGACCTACCGCTTGTTCTAGTATATTTGAGAAGCGTCTGATTGTCTCTATATTGCCAGCGCGCCGCTAGACTCCATACCGCGGGAGTAAACAACAGACAGGGTAGGCTTTCGCGCGATATTTCTATGTCTACGAAACGATATATTTGATTGCGACCATTTTCTCCTTGGGGTTGAAAAACACCCTATTTGATCTTGCAAGTCGATCTCTTTAACATTTATTAAAAGTGTTATATTTTCCTAGCTTACGCTAGAAAATATTTATGGTTTTGTGTGTAGGAACCGATATATTTGATTCCGACTATTTTCTGTTTTGTATCCTACCAAGTTTAAAATAATAAAGTGGCATATTGTTAAATTAATTATGCATGCAGTTTTTTGAATGCATCCTAAAATAATTACGACGCCTCTGACAGTTCGGCAATTTTCGGAAAATTAGACGCTAAAAATTGTTTCATAAGTTCACACCGGTCAAAATGTTTCCGATTTTGAAATTCGTGTTGTTGTTTTGTAGGACTAGTTAGGTTATTTTAGATATCAGTGAATATAATGGATAGATAAGTCGTAGATTTATTACAAATGCAATACCAGGGTAGGCGCGGCTCGTGTTATTGTAGAGGTGGGTCAAATTGTGGTGGACAGTGCCGCAGGCAAAGTTGTCCCTGGCCCGCACTACAAATTTTTGACTTTTAAATAGAACAAATAAAAAATATATTCCTTGAGATATCCATTGGATAGTCAACACAAGAACATTTTGAAAATTCGTACACCAAAACACAAGACGAAACAATTTAAAAATGTAAACAACTTTTAGCCGAACCTTTTTTTGGGTGTTTATTTTCACGGAACTGTGTTAGTGAATCTGTGTAGGCTTAAGCGCTTTCGATCACATGCATTATCATAGATATTGGTCGGCCGTCGATAATTACTTGTCTCCTTGTCTCTTTTCAACTTCAAAGCGGGTGTATATGCTATTACATCTCTATCCACTTGCAATGCATTTTTCTTTGTGCATTGCCTTATAACTCACAAGTTCAATTTAAAATAAGGCCAAAAGAATGAATTGTTACTAGACATTAGTATTCCTGGCTCCATTGGTAATAATTGGGGAATTTTTGCATGAAAATGTAATTGTAGTTTCTTATTAAATATTGTATGAAATAAATTAGGTGGGACATTAACCAAATAACCTTATGGAGAAGTCGCGCCTGTACCGGGGTACAAATTTGTGGACTTAAAGGATAAAAAAATTTAAATGCCACGGCCTTCATTTTTGAAGATCTTAAACTCATCTGTTGGTTATTTTATAGTTTTGCCACTTAACTCATTTTTTTTTACTCAATTTGAATAGCATTTACTCCAATATTCAATGGAAAATTAAAATAAATATAAAAAACAAACACTTGTTAATGTATTTAATTTAATAAATTTATTAGATATCATACAAAATATATAATTTATACACTTACAACTAGCAGTAATTGTGATATTACAAAAAGTAAAAAAAGTACTACAGTCAACATAAGACACTAAAAGTGTATATAGGTAGTCTTCAGGAATGTTACCATCTATGTTAATACGTTCTCTCTATCAAAAATAAGTCGAATTTATTATTCAAAACGATGAAGACAAAATTCTCCACATCTACAAAACCTTAATAATCAAAATTATACCATATTTAACACAAAATTTTAATTCCGACTTTATTAGATTTTATTTTGTTTCCTAAATTGAATTTATCTCGTTATTATTACATATAAATGAAATACTTAAGGACAGGGTAATATTCAAAATGTACTGTGAACTTTAGGTGTTTGAGTAATACTTTTACATTGGAAACATAAAAAATTCCAAGGTAATTAGCAAGTATAAAAAAATTAAAACGAATTAGTGTTTCGTCACCTTTTAACTTGCAGTTTATAAATTATTCTCGTTTCCTCACCTAATTCTGTCTTCCGACATATCAAATAACAAAAATCTCTATATTTGTCAGAAATGATGTGTTTGCAGAGTATTTATGCTAAGAGAAGTGTGCCTTACATTATTTTATTGAACATAGGGAATAGATTTTCACCTCTACTTTTTTGTCGTTCGTGTGAGGTGAAGGTCAAAGTTGATATAAGTAAAGGTACGTTATTTAAGAAAAAAATATGAATATGATCGGTAAAACAGTGAGCAGATCTGTAAACTATTGGTTGGTCCCTTCTGCAGGTCATAAAATAATCATTTCCCAATAAAATAATTATAACAGTTCTCAAGGCACACATAAACAAACATTTTTGTGGATCAAACGCATTAAGTACATTATAATTAAGTATTTAACGACTTATTAGGTGAAGAAAATAGAATTTGTAGGTGACAAACAAGAATTATAAAAGAATGAAAATAGCTACAAAATTGAAAAGACGAGGAAACACGAATTGACGAAACAAGAATTGATATTTAAAAAGTTTCACATTAAAAAAATCCTTTTATTTCCAGATTTCTTAGGAATTAAACATTTATAAACTATAATGTCAAATGATGTGCCACAATTTCAAATATAATGCTTTTATTCAGTCAATTATGTTTATAACTATTTCACTTACTGTTTGAGTTGCACTTCAATAAAATAATAAACCAAATAAAGTCGAAATAGCTGGTCAAAAACCATTTTGAATTAATTGTAAGTATTTTTATGTAAATATATGCAGAATAGCTCAAGCCACTGGAGACATATACAGTAAAAAGACGAGTTTCGGGTCACTTAACATACAAATATTTCAAATTATGGTGTCTTAGGACCTATTTTAAAGAGTGATTTACTTTAGAATCAATTTTTGTGGATCACTCCTTATATTTAATATATAAGAAAGATCTCCTAACATACGATTGCATTTTAAAATTTGTGAAATCACATCGAAACAAGAAGAAAGATAAATTTAAATTCTATATCATTATTATAATTTATCATCATACATCATATAATTATTATTACATTGGGATTATTTCAACTGATTTGGTTTCTGCTAGGCGTGTGTCTAATGGCTTGAGCTTATACATATGTATAATTTATTTTGTAATTATACGAAAGTATCAATTGCGTTTTTGTACATTTGGCACGATGATTATACACCTCGCCACGGATTATTTTATAGAAATCAAAAAGGCACAAATTCAACAGTAAAATATTATTGAATTATTATTTCATCTGGCCATGGCATTTTTTAAGTCTTACATATTCGACTACGTAATCTCTTTACACTATAATACAATAAATAGTAAAAAGTTAATTTCTTTTGTAAAAATATTATAAAAATCTGAATACTGCATTTAGGGCAGATTTCGTTTCGATATAAGTCTTTTAGGAATGATATATAATTCTAAATAAGTTATATGGCTTCGAAATAACTAAAAATCTATTAAAAAAAAAAGAGAGCAAATACTGTACTTTAGTGAAATCGGCCAACAAATGACACATAATTTTTTATAACGTTCTAAAATAAATTTAGAAGTTTTTGTGACTATTCTATTATGTAATCAAAATCTGACAAATTTTAAATGTTTCTATCCTGTTTTTTGACCATTAATACTTCACACAAAACAATCAACAATAAATTTAAATATTATAGTAAAAAATGTGCACTATCATAAGAATTTGTTAGAAATGTGCTCAAATGCGATAATATCAGTGAAAATTAAGTATTAGCAGAAAAGTTACATTATTCACACCAATAGATTGGTAGAAAAGAATAAGTGGCCCACTAGATAACCGGATTTAACGCCTATCGATTTTTTTTCCAATGGGCCAATTAAGTACGTAGTTTTTAAAATTCAACCAGCTTTGATGTAGAAACTTCAAGACCAAATTATCCAGGAATGTCATCGCTTTTTTTAGAGAAACACTCATAAAAGTGTCAAAAAATATTCCTGGTATATCTAAAATTTCACAGCTGTTGTAGAGGATGCGTAAAGTAGTACTGGTGTACTATTACCAGATGAATTAGACTTTAAAAAATGTCAGATAGATCATCTTGTTTACAATTCCTTAAGCCGAAATAAGTACAAACCTATTGAAACGTCATTATTTAATATTATGTCATGGTTTCGATGTAAATTAAATGTTAATTTCACCATAGTACACAAAATAATAAATTTGGCTAAATGAAAAGTCTTCAGTTCTGTAAACAGCAAAAAAATAAAACTAACTAAATATTAATCAATGCGGATGTCATATGGCCCTTTTGGGTAAAAATAAACTTCATAATCAGGGTTTGAGAGGAATTGCGCCGGCGAAGCAGAATTTTGTAAAGAAAAACAACATTGCGTCGCCAAAACAAAATCTCCTATAAATAAATAAGAAAACAACCTTAAAAATGCTTTTTCAGCTGCCATTTTGAATTAATTGACTTGGCTTCTTTTTAGGTCACCCTGTATATAATAAACCATTAGGTAGGGCTTAAAGATATTGTTTTCATATATACATTAAACTTTTTTAAGAAAATCATCTTTTTCTTGATAAAAATCTCGATAATACCGAACTACTACAGGGCGTTCCAAAAACATTGTCTAATATTTCGAATATTATTCATATTGAAGAATCAAAAAGGCATGTTTTGTGTTGAAGAATGAATCGAAATACAGGACAATGAGAGATTAATCATTGCAACACCTTTTTTTATTGTCAAAAATGGAAGTAGTGAAAATGTCACTGTTAATTTGACACAATTTCGCTAATATTTTTGAAACTCCCTATAGTGGCGGTAAAAATATACTTTAATGACAACCAGCTTCGTTTTCCAATTCTATACAAAGAGTTCATGAACTATTTTTTTTATGATTGTGCATTATGGGAAATAGAATCTGGAATGAGCACGATTTGATATAAAAAATCGTTTAGGGCTAGAAATTGCTTTCTTTGGTAACAGTATTTTCTAGAAATAATGTAAACATTTTTAACACCTTAATATATAATTAGGAGAGCCAAAAAACCAACAAAAACATTAACCATCTTAACAATATGCCTTTGTAGAAATACTGACAAGTTTAAATTGTGAGAATCCTGGAGACAAACCAGAGTGAAATCATGACAAGTCCTATAGTTGTTCCCACTCTACATTATGGCATTGCACAAATAAATTTCAAAAAAGTCATACATAATCAACAGAGTTGATATGTATTCCTAAAGATAATGAAAGAGTAATAAAGATATGAAAGAATAAGAGAGTTAGATATAATGTAGGGTACAATGCAGGAAAAAAGAAAAAATGTAATAAAATATCATTAACTTGGAAGTTGGACAGCAATAGATTACCCTTCAAAACTAGAAAATATTGCCACTATACAAAGAGAATTTTCAAAAGTTATAATTATTCTTTTTATGTCATCTGTTCTCAAAAATTGCCAAATTTTCCAGAATTTGTCTAAACTTCAATGGATATTTTAATGTATAATCAATTTCGATATATAAAAAAAAAATAGTCCAGGTAATCACGATTGATTTGGAAAACGAACGCTACCGTCTAAATATATCACCGTAGCGATTAAACAGCTAAAAATTTACATAAGCAGACCACAATCTTTGAGGTTATTCTTAATGATGACGTCGGTGACAGCATCGAAGACAAACTGTATGTTATTGGTATCTGTGGCGCATGTAAAATGCGTGTAGATTTCTTTCTGATCTTTGAGCTTGTTCAGATTTTCGAATTTCATTCTGATGTAAGCAGAGGCGTCTTCAAACGTGTTGGGGCCTGTATATTCGGGGAAGCAGATGGTCAATGGACTGCGGGCGATTTTTTCTTCAAACAGATCTTTCTTGTTCAGGAAAAGAATTATGGAGGTGGTCACGAACCATTTGCTGTTGCAGATCGAGTCAAAGAGTTTCATTGATTCTACCATTCGGTTCATTTCTTCATCTTCAGCCAGTACCAAGTCATAACCTGTACAAAATTATGTTTTAAATATGAAAATATTGCATATAGGGTCTGACATAGCACAATATATCCACAAAAATGAATGTTATATACAACAAATTAATAATCTATTTCAGAAGTGAAAGCTTATTGAATTAAATTCACAGCTGCCTTGCATGTTAAATAAATAGTTAATGGAATATAATATATCTACTATTGTAGATGACATCAGCAGTACATAGTTTTTACCTTTGTTGTATTCAATCAATAAAAAAAGTAATTTAGATGAACCGCCATTACTTAAATATCAGCATTTATTAAAAAAAAAAAAAAAAATACATACATACATCTTAGAAATGTAATACTGTTTTATTTACCTGACAAGGCTACACAAAATATGATTGCAGTTACTCCTTCAAAGCAGTGAATCCATTTTTTTCTTTCTGAACGCTGTCCGCCGACATCAAACATCCTAAAGAAGAAGTATACATAAAATTTCAGAATATATTTTTAAAAATATTCATAGGCTGGTGGTTTTTAAACTTTAAAATGTTATATTTCCACTTTGATATGTGATGTTACCAGATAATTGATGACAGTCCTGAAGGGTCTAACATTGTAATGGCATCTTTATTAAATTAATCATTATTTTTTACCAATTTGTGGACACCCATAAAAACACAATACTACTTACTTAAAGTGGAGATTCTTGAAAGAAAAATTAGTCTCGACAATCCCTGTTGTCTTAACTCTGGTCCTTAAAACATCCTGCTGAGAAGGAATGTAACTAGGATGTGAGATTCTATCCAAAGCATTTAAGTAATAAGCTGCTGAATCATTTAACTGGTACTCTCTGGATCTGGAGAAACACAACTGTACACCAGGGTCTTGCCATAGTTTTTTCATCACCATTACAAGTTCTGGTGTTAGTTCTCCTTCTTCAGCTGAACCAACATAGGTGAAAAATTGTCTTGCAATGTCCTGAAATTGTGGATTAAAGAATATCTAAGATCAGTTTCTATAAAAAATGTACATCTACGACACAAGTGGTGTCTCACTTTGGCAGTAGGTATACAAATTATAGGTGAGACCTTGGCAAAACAAGGCAGTGGAGGCCGTAAGAGGCCCAAATAAGAGAACTGGGATTAAATCATGACTAGACTGGTCGAAAATGGCTCGCACGACAGTACTTTAACAAGTCTATTTTTAAATCAATAATTTAAAACTCACTATTTACTTTCCTATCACAGATATAAGGAAAGTATAGGAATCATGATTTTTTCGACCTCGAGTTTTCGACGGATTTTTACGTTTGAAGTCCCCTGAATCCGTTTTGACTATTTTCGCGATGATGTCTGTGTGTGTCTGTATCCACCATAACTCATGAACCGATACACAGAAAAACACAAAATTTTAAACTTATGCCTTTTTCCAGCGTCCAATGAACTGATTAGATTTTGGGCAGAGTCGGAACATCTGGGGGGGTACTTTATAGGTGGTCATTTTTAATTTTATGGAATATATCCGTTATTTACGTTTGGAGAAGAAAATTTTTTAAATAAAAGTTACTTCTAATATTATTATCTATAATTTTTGTTCTATACAAAATTTTCCTTAAATGGTCCGTATTCGAGAAATTTGACAAAATGTAAAAAAAAATTTTTTTATAAAAATTGTTCAAATAAAAGTTGTTTGTAATATAATTCTCTATAATTTTTGTCATATACATACTTTCTCTAAAATGGACAGTATTTTCGTTTTCAATGAATATCTATAGAAAAATGTTTCAAGTTAGATGTATGTGGAAAATGTATATATTTACTTTATCCTCTAAATATTTATAGAGGTGCTACAATAGGTTGTACAAATTAACCAAAAAAAGCCTATATCTAGATAGGATAGTCATGTGTTGGACACATCAGATTTTTTCTAATAGTGATATTTATGATTAGTTATCTTTCTAAAATGGGATTCAAATTAGGTTAGTATGTAAGTTTAGATATAATATACAAAAGGTGTGTTTATTTTGATGTTTTCTACCTCTATAGGTAACTTCAATTGTGGAAAAATTTGAAATTCTTTTTAAATAGTGTGAAAAAAAACATTTGTTTAATTTTACATTACATTAAAAATGCCTGGTTATATTTGCAAGTACTTTTAGTTCCTACTTGAAGTAATATATCCAGCCAAACTCAAAAAAAGTTTATAAAAGTTCCTCAAAATTTAGACATTCAAAAATGATGGTAGGTTGAAGGCTGCTGCAAAACAAAAACTACTATCATGCTTACATATGTGAAGATCATTTTGATGTAAGTAAAGATATTTTTATTTCCAATTTGATATCAATTTATAAAACTTTATCAACTTGTAGGTCAATATACTTTCTTACCTAACACAATCTGTGTGTACTAATAAATTGTACTAAATAGTTTTCATTGCTTTTTATATGGAATAAGTTGCAGAAAACTGGATACAGTTCTTAATTCTAAGTAAGAATTTGAAAATAAAACAAGATCTTGTGCCTCATAAATATAAATTCCTCTTAAAAGCTCTTTTTAAAACTGACCCTGCCAAAAAGAATAATTGAAAATATGTAATGTATTATCATTCCAGTGGGTTTTTATGGCCAATATTAATTTAAACTATTTCATGTGAAATTGTTTTTCATGTAAATCTTTTACGATGACTATTTCTTTACTAACATTATGTACTTTCCCAGAATTGTATTAAATCAACATGGAGCTTAATAATATCTATCCATAGTTTAATTACAATTGGCAGTTATGTACTTTTACTGATTCAATAATGCTACATAGTCAATGATATCTGATAAGGATACCAAGAAATTATTTACACTAGAGATAAAGCCCCAAGTTTGTATAAAATTAAATCTGTTATACCTAATATTTTTATAAGCAAAATGTATCATTACTACTTACAGTTTTACTAGGATCGGCGAAATCTATTCTTAATTGGCCCATAGCTCTTATGATAGCCACCAAACTTTGTATAGTATTACTGTAAACAACTGGTCTATACTGTTCACATTCTTCTTGTGTGTAACCGAGTTCGTGAATAATTTTCATCTGCTTTACGATTGTACTTTTTCCAGATTCTCCAGCTCCTAAAAGTTTAAAAATACTATAGAAAAAATATATATACCATAGAAGATTGCAACATACCCAGTAGCAGAAGTTTGACTTCACTGGCTGCTTTTTCACCAGCTGCTCGTAAATCCCTGTCTATTTTTCGGGATCTGGCTAAAGCAGCCTTTTCCCCAGTTGTACTAACCGCACAACCCATATTTTTTTTTCAATTCCTTTGATAAAAACACACTTGTTGCTATTCCTTCCTATACATAAGATAAGACGACTCCACCCACTCCGCAAAAACAACCAAAACAACTCTTTTCGTTTTCGGTTAAAAAGTCATATGTCATCGGAATTCTTGAAAACATTACCAAACAAAATTCCCTAACCAGATGATTAGTCACTTCCTCATTTTCTTCTTTTTTATATGTTTTGACAGATTCAAAGAAACTGATATACATCTTAGCTAAAGACTAAAAAAAAAGAATATTAAGAAATGTCCCGTACGTCAAAGTGATATGTATTAAAAATTCGTTGTTTACTGTTGTTTATTTTTAAATGTTATATGTTATATAAAAAGATCTGTGTTAAAAGTTTATATTATTGTTTCATTTATTATTTACACATATGAAATATTCGAAACATGTTAAAGTTTGGCTCGAAACATGACAGCAATATTGTTTACAAGTGTACAGTTAGGCTCCTTGAAGACACAGAAATACTGGAGTGCGAGTACAAGGTAAGATTTATTTAAACTAAATTCTATTTATTAAGATGCCTATTTTAGCCGCAGCATAAAGGAAAATATTTATTAGAATACGTATGCCAGCAGCTGAATCTCGTTGAGCAGGATTATCTAGGACTTCGCTATGTTGACAACCAAGATCAAAGAGTAACATTTAAAAAACATGATTGTATAAATATCATTTTTCATTGATTATGTTTTTGTAGCACTGGCTGGATTTGGGAAAGTCCATTTGCAAACAAGTGAAAGATCTTGACCCAGTTTTGTTTAGCTTCAGGGTGAAGTTTTACCCTCCTGACCCCTTTAGACTTAAAGAAGAAATAACGCGATACCAGGTATTTTTGCAACTGAAAAGAGATTTGTTGCATGGCAGACTGTATTGTGGTACTAATGAAGCTGCAATGTTGGCTGCTTTAATAGTACAAGGTAAAAAAATATATTTAAAAATTAATCTTTGGTAAAATTTAAAATTCACATTTTAGTCTAAAAAGGGCAGTATTTTAAAAATATTTCCCAGAAACCCCATAAATTTTTGTGATAGAAAACATCAAGTTTACATAAATATTCCCCACAAAATATTAAAAGAAAATAATAATGATTTATGGGGTTTTTGGTGGCATATTCAGAGAAAAATTAAAAAGAGCTGAATAAAACCAATAATCCTTTAAATACATTTTTAGGAGAACTTGGTGACTATGATCCTGAGATACATTTAGGGAATTATGTATCTGATATGAAAATGTTATTAAAGCAGACAGAAGCGCTTGAAGAAAAAATTGCAGATATACATCAGAGACAGTTAAAAGGCCAGGATCAAAGTCAAGTAGAAACTTCTTTTTTAAAACTTGCTTGTCAACTTGATACATATGGAGTTGACCCTCATCCTGTAAAAGTATGTTAAGCTTGAGAGCAGTATCTAAATGTGTTTGAAAAAGGGTTTGTTACAGGATCAGAAAGGAACTCAGCTTTATTTGGGTATAAACTACAGTGGAATTTTGACTTTTCAAGGTAGTAGGAAAACCCATCATTTTAGGTGGCCAGATATACAAAAGATAAACTATGAAGGAAAAATGTTTATAATACACCTGAACTACAATGATGTAAGTTTCTGATTTCAAGTTATTATTCTAAGGTCATAGATATGATATTTATACATTATAAGGTATTTATCCTCAAATATATGATAACATGAGTGGACCCAAAATGACAATACGGTGAGAAATCACTTTGAGTGTCATCTGTTTTAACCTATTTCATTAGTATAGGGTAAAGGATAGGTCGAGTCGACTTTCACATATTGGCTCAAGCATCAACTCAACAAAAGACAAGGAGAAAATATCTTTTATCTTGTATTTTCATAGAACAGAATAATTATGGTGTTCATAAGTACCCACTATTTTGTATTCAAGTACATTTTGTAGACATTTTATTCTGTATTTTAGAAATGTTTACTTGTATTTAGAACTATATTTATAACAGTCAATAACAATATTTAACTAAAGGATACTAATACTAAAAATAAATCCTATAATAATTGGCAAATTCACCAATTAAAGATATTGCATAACTTTGTTTTTAAGATTCCTAACCTGTTTAAATCTTTCATCAAGCCAAGAAAAAACTTTTATCAATTGGGCCTTGGTACTACTGAAATTTTATAAAACCATGGTATTTTACTTAAAAATCCACATTATTTAGGGATATCTGACAATCTTATACTTTTTTAACATCACACTTGTTTCCTACCATGGTTAATATTTTCAGAAGAAACATACTGTAGGATTTAAGTGCCTCTCAGGGCAAGCTTGCAGACATGTTTGGCGGTGTGCTGTTGAACAAATGCTGTTTTTTACGTAAGTATACTGTTGAATTGAAAGCCCTTTAGTATTGTTCCAGTAGAAAAATTAGCACACACACTACATTTATTGAATATCAAAATTAGTGAAGTCTAGAATAGTTCTTCTGTTTTTATTTGTTTTAAAATCATAGAGCAATGGTTTGTTTAGGCACATCGCACCGTAGTTGTTTTAGTTAAAAAAAAAGGGTATTATTTATATTAGTTTGCCAACTAGCTCTGATGCTCCATCCGTGGTAACCGGAGGTGGTTTCTTTTCGTGGGGTACGAAATTCAAATACACTGGTAGAACAGAAAAAGAAATATTAGAAGATAGTGGTTCCCCATCTAGGGAGGAACCTAGCATCCAACGTTCATCTAGTGTTAGGAGAAAAGCGTCTAGTGTACCTGCTACTCCATCTACTCCTTTACAGCCTCATTTAGGTAATTAATTTTTGTAGAATTTAGCATTTTTTTATCATTTGTTTCATTTTTTACTCTAGATAATAAGATGTTTTATTTATTTATTCCCAACACATGCTACTTATTGGCGATTGAAACTAAGAGATACGCCTTCTGTTGAGACTTTTTATATACCTCTTTTAGTAGTAGATTTTTTATTGTATACATAGTCACCCAAGTAACATTTTTCGAAGAAACAAGTTTTATTTATGTTTTATTTGGATTTTACAAAGACATACAAAATTAATTATTATTTTATTAATGACATTTTTTTACAAATAAGCCTGTATAATAAATTGATCTTATTCCTTGGTTTTATTGGTTCCTTTAAATCTGTTTAAGAAAACTAATTAATCATAAAATAAATTATACTTTTTCATGGTCTTATAAGGATTAGTTAATAATCCATTTTAGAACTATTTAGCCTTAAGGACAGAGTTCCTTGTGCATTAGAATGGCGTCTGCAGACCAAAGGTGGATTCATAAACTACGTTCAGTTCACGCTCGGTTCGAGTTCAACATAAACAGAGCAGAATGACACGGTAAGTATGTTTTGGATAAGAAATTATAACGGATTCATAATTATTTTATAACCAACACCATCTACAAATATAATTAAAACAAAAATAATATCAAAATATAATTTTATTTTGCGGAATTTGTGGCTATGTCTTGCCAACTCGAACTGAGCGCGAACTGAACGTAGTTTATGAATCCACCCCAAAAGTTAATTGTAACTATTTCCGTAATTATTACGTATATCGTAATTTTTTTTTCTTTTTTTTTTTTTTTAATTGTAGATAAAGGTCCAACTTTAATTAAAAACGTGTGGTAGAAAATTGCCTATTTTTAGACCTTTTTCATTGTAAGAATTAACTACAAATTCAATAAATTTTCTGAAAATGAAACATTGAACCACCTAAGTTAAAAATTTTCCTATCAAATCGTTCAATCGGAAAATACGAAAAGACTTTCTTAGAAAATGGGGTGCTTCTCTATTAAACACATCTACTTTGGAATGGGATTTAATCGTTTTTCCATATTGAAACGAGTAATATTATTTATCAATGATTCTGCTTTGTTGGTTTCGTTGGTTAAAAGAAGGTGTGCTTTTATTAAAAGTAAATTTAATGCTGCTTATACATGGTGGTGATGATGTGAATTCGGAATATTTGTTAACATCGCAAATTTCTCTTTAGCAGTTAACATGATTACCAAAAACATGTGTTACACTATTTCTTAAATCTTGTTTAAGTTGTGCAACGCTAAGAACTCCGTGAGTAGCAAATAACAAATTCAACGGATCGATAATTCAGTTTAGCGAGTAGATTATTTTACCAAATATTTGACTACAGGCACTACTGATTAGGCAGTCCCGCAGTACAGAATTCGACCGCAAATCCTTTGGAGACTCTGTCCTTAAGGCTGACATTCATGACATTTCAAAAAATTATCGATAATGAATGTACCACTTATTTTATTAACCTTATTTGTGTGTTACGTAGGTGTATTAAATTTGTTTGTCTTATAAATAGAATAGAATTTGTAAAAATCTAGGGCTGTCCACGCTAAATCTTGCAACGGTTATTGTAAATCTTGGTTTAAATATCAATTGTTTCATTAGGGTATTGTAGCTTACCCCGTTCAAGTCACTCCGACGTAGGTGGTTCAAGAATGGAATCCAGTAATAGCATTGGTTTACTCTCAGGATTAGACAATAATCCTACTCAAATATACAGCGACGTGGCTGCCTTGGAAACTGTTACTGAAGATCAAGAAGCTTTAGGTGTTACAAAATTACGCACTACAGGTAGGAAGTTAGTAAATTGTCAATAAGAAATTGCAGAAATAAATAGATATTTACATACGTAAGTTATCATTTAATTTTTGTAATTTATTTTTCTTTTTTCAGTGTTAAAAGATGATTCTGTGGACAGATTTAGTGATTATTACTTTCGTGATTCTTTTGAACATTCCTCATCGGAATCTCAGTTAGTAGACAACTATCGCGGATACGAAACTACCAATCCATCACACCGTTCCAGCAGGAGTCAAACGCCATTATCCCATTCTCAGGTTGACGGCAGGATATACCTGCCAAATTCGGCTCAACCTCTGCCACCACCGCCCACGAAAAAAACCAAAAAGTTCAACCTCCTAAGCGCGTTCATTCCATCTCTGGTCATCGTGGTGGTGTTGGCTATTGTTTCTACCATAGTTGTTTTAGAAAGCAACTGGGAGTTATTGAGTAGTTTTAAAAATATTCCAGAAATGGTGTCTTTGAAGTACCAAGTGTATGAGCCAATTAAGCAGTACTGGAAGAACAAAATGGGCGTTCTGTTTTGAGCTAAGTTGGTATTTTCATCCACCAGAATCTCTAATAGGATCTCAAATACTCTTTAGTACGGATCAATCTCGTTTTGTATCGCATTTTATTTGTTTTTCTGTTCAGTGCAGTTCCCAATGAACATTTTTATATTTGTATAAGTTTGTTCAACTTAAAATCATGATTTTATAAATCTAAAATAACTATTAGGAACTTTTTATAAACCTAGGGGGTTTATAACAAACAGATAAATTAAGATTTTCACAAATACGAGTAAATACTAAGAGAGAAAATAGTTTTAGAATAGATGTGTGATTCCAGTGATTTTCCGTTTTTAGTTAAAAAAAAGTTGAGGGGTCAGAGGGGTGTTGACTTCCTCTGAAAACCTACAAAAAATGAAAATAAATAAATGCGGTTACTGCGTATTTAGAGTATTCCATATAAATTAAGAGCGCAATTTGATTTTAATTTTCAACCTTAACATCCTGAAATTTTTTTGTATATAGGTAAGTGAGGTTTTTGACCCCACAATATGTGGTAAATTTTTTCGGAATTTCAGATTTCTTAGGCCAATAGCTTTGTACTGTTCCTCCACTATTATCTATCTTGTCTTCCTCTAACGTTTGCCCACTTTTCTTCCTTGTATTTTTTTATTTTTACCTAAAATACCTTAGAGTATATAACACTTTTGACTTTTTGATGGTTCTACAAATGATGTTATTACTCGTACTAGTACTGACCCAAATGAAAAATTTGGCAGTTCCGTATTACAAGGATCCGTGTTTTTGAGAAGATAAAATGGTAAACATGGAATACAGATGTGTAAAGTTGAAAGAATGAAAGAATATTCATTTAATAGTATTGGGTATTGGCATACACAAGGCGATTTTAAAAATATACATCCTGAATATTTCAGAATATAGAACCCAAAACACATCAATTTTTATTAAGAGGGGACATCTTCATATCATAATCCTAAACTGTCATACGTCATTTACTTTTGGTTTTTGTCCCCTCTGGGGAAAGCTAATTTTATTAGTAATATCTATTTTTCCTTCATTGTCTTTGCATTTATTATTTTACTCTGCTGTCTACTCTTACGACATTACCGTTTTTCATAATAAATCAATTTATGCCCATTGTGATCTACAGAGGATTATCACAAATTTATTATAGAATCAAAGCTTGAGATATGAATATGTGGCTTCTAAGTGTTAACCATATTTTATATATTTTTTTTAAACTGACTAATATATCCTTATTTTTAAATTAAAAATCTTATTTTATTATTATTTGGAAATCATGAAGCTATATTAATAGATTTGTTTTAAATATTTTAGTAAATTAAATTTCTATATAAAAATAAAAATGTTCATTGGCCAGTTAAAAAAAATCAAATCTAAACAAAACAATTTAGTCAAAAAAAAATTAGCTGATAAACTCGATTTTTAATTAGAACATTTGCTTAATATAATAAGAATTTTCGTAAATTATAGAGATTATAATGTTCAAAATTTAAACGAAAACGTACTTAAATATCCCAGACACATAGTACCAATTCCCTTGTAAATAAATAAAAAAGTAATCACTAAAATACGCTTAGGCTTTGAAACAATACTTATAAATGATATATACATATATACATGGATTGGTCGGGTGAATAAAAAATGTGCCACCTAACCTTATAGAAAACTTATCTACCAATCTCAATTTTTAGCACAATATCTAAAATGTTTGAAAAAATTATAACTGACTACCTTACTTACGACTGCTCTGGTGTCATAACTGAAAAACAATATGCATAACAGAGTTAAATTCGATTCTGTTTATACGGATTTCTCCAAGGATTTGACAGGATTACTTCTTACTTCAAAAGTTTAACAAATATGGTCTGGGTGGGGTATTACTGCAATGGATTGGTGACTAATAGAATTCAAATGGTGTTAATCAACACTATTTTAACCTATTTCAAGTAACCTCATGGGTCACATCTAGGGCCCTTACTATTTAACTTATTTATTAATATCATTTATTATTTGCAAATTACAAACTTAAATCTGACCTCGAATATATATCAGAATGATGTCACCTACCTCCAACTACATTTGACTATAACTCTGTTATTCAAATTAAATTCTTTGGAGTTATTCTAGGTCCCATTTTAAACTTTAATGAACAGATCTGCTGCTGTCTATAAATCTATAAAAATGTTGAAATTTTATCAAAAGGCTGACCCGTTATTTTACTGACAACTGCAGTTAAAGTTCTTTATTGTTTACTAGTCAGATCTTATCTTGATTATTGCTCTTCCGTTTGTTCTCTATACCTATATAATATGTAGACAGTGTTTAGCACAATTTCTCAGATACATGGCATTCAAATTGGGTGTTTATTCTGAATATTGAATATTTTTGCTCAAACTCGTTCAATTACTTGTAAGAGTTACATTCCAAGAATGCTTAGATTAGCTACGTTACACAATGATCTTAGGCTGTTTAACATTCCCTTTTTATCATTCAAAACTCGATTACTTAATACTGAGCTTTTATTTTAATATTTTTACTGTATATTTTTAACCTTATACTCACTTTTTTATTTTAAATGTTTTTAGTATGTATGAGATGTACGACATTTTTGTGCTACATCACCATAAATATTTTTTAAATTGTAATAACATTCCGCTATTTAAAAAAGCAAATTTACTATAGGCCATTTAAATTACCAAGTTAACCAGATCGTTGTCTGACTGTGAAAGGTATTCAAAACACCGAGCACAGTCACGGGTTGGATGGGTGGAATGAGTTGAATGAATGTGAAGAAGTAGGGCATCCAAATGGTGGCACAATAAGCACATTGGCCTGCAGCGTCGCCATGCTTGAACCCTAGAGGAGAGGCTGTCTGTAAGAGTGAGAAATATGATCAAGTCTATGAGGAAAACAAACAGCAAAACGGATAGTGGGCACATGATATAACCCGAGCAATTTATCTATATAGGATGATTTAAAAGTAAACTATTTTTTAAAAATTAGAAGAATATGTGTTTAAAATTTAAAATACAAAACATATCATTTTTTATTTTTTTGCCTTTTAATTTTAATTTAGTATGGCGAAGGAATAAAAAACAATTTAAACTATGCACAAAAAACTGTTATAAGTGATTTTAAGTATTAAAAGTAGATAACATTTTAGCTAAATTACCATTTAGTATTCAATAACTGATCGACTATTGTACATAATCGGAGTTACCCATAGTAACAAGTTTAAGTTATCTGAAAAATATGTTTATTTTAAAGAAACTATTAAAATGAAAGAATTATCTTTTAAATCATTCTGTATATACAAATTAATTTTGTGAGAAAGTTCGATATCTTCCCTGGTATAAAAAATATTAGGAAAAATAGTGGGGAAGTTTGAAGTCAATTATATAGATTTAACTCATGTTCATTAGAAATCGAATTAGTTAATAAAAAAAAAACAATAGCTTTTGTACTACAAGTTTAATGGTCTTTCAGATATATGACTCTACAATCATTGCATTGTATTAAAACATTTATTATAAAAGTAATTTTAAGATTTCGACTCCGAAATCGTGCTGATGCCATCACAAATTGAATTTGCTGAGTTTACATACATCTCATCATCAGATCTTGACCAAATATGTATATAGAATCACCCCCCGAGGTACCCCCTTTCTAACAAAAAATAATCAAATCGAACATAGTAAAGAATTATCACTGAATATACCTAAAAAATTAAGTGTTTGATGAATTTTTTATGGATCCCATTATCAGATCTTGGCCAAATTTATATGGAACCACCCCTGAGGTACCCCCTTTCTAACAAAAATCATAGAAATTATCCAACATGGTAAAGAATTATCGCTGAACATACATAAAAAAATATTCATTTTTTGGAAGTCAGTTAAAAATAAATGAAAACATAAATAGTCTATGCAATATGAGTCTTATAAAATTATGGAGTGGGTAAATTTAAAACATTCAAAAACAATATAAATCCCAAAATCAATAATATATATAGGGTGTCCCAAAAGGTTTTATATTACTTAATGGGAAAGAGATTTATCTTACATTTTACAAAAAAAAATATTCTTGAAAAAGTTCTGCATGAGGCATTCATAATCCAGTATTACATTTTGTAAAATATAGGTGGTATAAAGTGACAATAAAAATAATGATTTACAATGAGTAAAATACTTTTAAATTTCAATTTTAATTAAAATGTTGATAGGAATTAAATAATATGTTTAAGTTTAAATCATTGCACTTATTTTTAAGTGATTTTGATTTACTTTATTGAATAAACATTCCAAAACCTAGAGTGTGTACTGGAAATTTTTTAATTTTACAAATTTTATGCTTGATTATGAATTTCCAAGTGATACAGAACATTTTATCAAAAATTTTTTTTTTGTGAAATATATAAAAACTTTTTTAATACTGATTTAATTGTGAAAAAAGAAAAACTTTACCTAAGTAGTATCCTTTTCTTTAGATATTTTTTTAATTTTAATATAAAGGTAACTCAATACACTCTACTTTTTTGTATTCAAAAACAACCCACCATTTTTTAAAATCTATTGCACGAAAGATATCGAAAATTATCACAAGATTGGTAGGTATGTATATATCATTAGTCTAAAATGAAACTTGATATTTCTTAAAGCATTCCAGATATTTAGATATATTAAACTGCACTATATTTATTTTTGTAGAGACTACGTACAAATTATATTGAATGTTAGTGCCTGTTATAGACGTGTTAATTTTATTTTTAGTTGTATTTTTCTATTTTGTTTATTTTAATTATTGATCGACGACAAATGTACAAAAAGAATAATTCGTAAAAACGGTTTGATGAAACCAAAAAAATGTTATGTAGGATAAACTTTTTTAGAAGTTTGAAAGCAATACGTATTTATTAATTTCTTTTATATATATAATATATACAAATTATGAAGACATTAGATGCAACTTTGATTTTAATCATATTATTACAAAAA